TGGGCTGACAGCAGGGCTGCCATAGCTGGGCATGACTTATTCTTGTGGTATCTTCATGCTGCATGAAAGGACATGAAGAAGCAGGGAGGTTAAAAACCACTTGCCCAAGTCAGAGCACCAGACCCTGGCAGGAGTCCAGCCTGAAAAGTCAGGTGCCTGACCTGTCACCCTCCTTCGGAAAAAGCAGCGAGTGCAAGAGCAAGGGAAGGGCAGCCTGGAACAACTCAGCAGAGGAGCCCTGGGCCCTGTCCCCCGCCCCCGGGGACGGACGGCCCTGCGGCCCAGGCACCGACATTCTCAGCACCCCCCGCCCCCGGTGACTCCGAGGCGACGACCTGCACTGTCCACACCCGTCCTCCTGGGTCCGCCTGGGGAGGGCTGGAGGGTATCCAGAGGGAGCCTCGCTCCCAGAGCCGGGCTGCGACCGAGGACGGGCTCTGGAGGAGGAGGGAGCGGCCGGAGCCGAGGAGCTGTTCTTTCCGTGGAAACTTGTGTGAGAACTAGGACGTGCGCGGGGCAGTGTGTCACACGTGTTGCACAAGGTCGGGGAACTGGGGCCTCGCGGACTTCAGCTCCCGCCCGCGCCCCCGCCCTCTCGCTGCTGACGTCACCCGGGGCGGAGGGGGGGGGCGTCCGGAACCCGGGACCGCGCGCCCCGCCCCCGCCGCTGACGTCACCCGGAGCCGGGGACCGCGCGCCCCGCCCCGCCCCGCCCCGCCCGCGGACCCCCGGCTGCAGCAGGAGGGGCCGGCGCTCCCGCGGGACTTCCAGCCCTCTCCGGGGGCGCGGGGAGGGAGGTGGCTGGAGGGAAGCAAGGACGCTCAAATTTTGACTCGGTTTCAGGGAACTCGGTGGACTTCCCAGAGTTCATTGGTGAACCCTGGGGTCCGTGGGCCCCGCGGGCAGCCCTGCTGGTCGGTCCGGAAGCCTCCGTGGCGGTGCTGGCCGCGGGGCAACTTCTAGCGCAGGTGGTCCCTGGGCCCTTGAACTCTGGCTGGTCTAGATTCAGATGGGTTCTAAGTGCAAACCGCACCCCGGGTTTTGAAGACCGAGTATGAGAGAAGGAAAAGATCTCATTAGTAATTTGTATATTGATTAGATGTTAAAAGATATGTTGGCTGTTTGGGGCTAAATAGCATATTTTATTGAAATTTCTTTCACCTGTTTCTGCTTTTTAAAACTGTGGTTAGAGGGGTATCTGGGTGGCTCAGCCGGTTCAGCGGCTGTGTGTTGATCTCAGCTCAGGTCTTGATCTCAGGGTTGTGAGTTCAGGCCCTGGTTGGGCGCCCCGCCCAGCATGGAGCCTACTTTAAAAAAAAAATTAATAAAATTAAAATGTGGCTAGAACACTTAAAATGACATATGTGGCTGGCACGCTGTATCTATTGGATAGCGCTGCTCTGTGATGACATCCTGTTGGCAAGGACTCACCCCCTCTCCCCCTCATTCCCCGGGTGCTCCTCACAACTGTGGGTGCTTCACTGCAAGCTGGGCACTTCCTCTTTTTCAGGAAGTGGTTACTAGAATCTGCTGGGAAATCTGCAAGAACAGGCTGTAAGTTGTGTCTTCCCAAAACTAGACTGAAAGCTTGAGGCCAGGGACATGTCTGATGCTTCTGGGTCCCTCCAGAGACAGGCACCCAGCAAATGGAGTGCCACTTTTGAGATCAGAGTTCCAGGTAACACTGGTGTATTCGTTTCCTAGGGCAGCCCTAACAAAGCTCTGCAAACTGGGTGGCTAAAACAAATGTATTATTTCACAGTTCTGGAGACCTGAAGTAAAAAATCAGGTGTCAGTGGGGCTATGCAGCCCTTGAAGGCTCTCCGAGAGGATCCTTCTTTCCCTTTCCTTAACTTCTGGAAGTGGCCAGCAGTCTTTGGCTTGTAGATGCATCACTCTAATCGTTACCACTGTGAAAACGTGGCCTTCTCCTTCTGACCCACATCTTCCCTCTATGTCCAAAATTTCCTCTTCTTATAAGGACAATTGGAGTAGGGCTCATCTGAATCCAGTATGGCCTCATTTTTACTTGATGACATCTGCAAAAACCATATTTTCAAGCAAAATCTCATTCTGACGTTTCAGTGGATGTGAATTTGGGGGGAGGATACTATTCAACCCAGTGCAACTGGGGAGTATCTTTTGCTAGGAAAGGTATCTCCAAAGAATCTGGTTAGTCCTTGGGTAGTTTCCACAGCATCTCCTAAGCCAGGAAAGGGCAGAACAGAGTGCTTAGGGTGTGCCAGGCACTGGTCTAGACTCTAGGGACACAATGATGAATATGACACAGTTTTTGCCCCCATAGAACTCGCTTTCTAGTGATGGAAATAGACAATCAGTACATTGGTACACAATATAATGTCGGGTCGTGGTAAGCACTGCGTGTGGGGGGATAGAGAGGGCAGGTGGTAGAGGTGGTGGGCTATGTTTGATAGGAGAGGATGGGCAGGGAAGACAATTCTGAGAAAACACTTGAGAACAGAGGGAGTTACAGAAGCCTGTGGGCTCAGAGATTCGGGGCAGAGCTAAGAGCAAGCACAAGGCCCCCAAATTAGGACAGTGCTTGATGAGTTCAAAGTATGCAGGAAGGGCGCAAGTGACATGGGTCACCCACCCACCCAAGGTGCCAGGGCTCAGCCCAAGCAGAGAAGGCCTGGGCTGTCCCTCTGGAGCTCTGGCCTTGGGTGGGTGGGGTGGCAGTGGGGCGGGGCCTTCCAAGATTTCTAGCTCAAGGGTTTCACTTCCTCCAGCCCCCTTCCCTCCCTCATTGTTTGGCTGGGGGGAGGCTGGCTATCTGTGGCTATTGCCAAAGTGATCCAGTGCTGTTGTCCCAATAAGAACAGAGTTGGTTTTTTTCTTTACTACTTACTCTTGAAGCTCAAGGTCCTAAAATCCCTTCTTCCATGTCTTCTCGCTTCCTGCAGTGATAGGCTTGAGGCTTTTAACTCTGTCTCTCCAGAGTTTGAGGCTGGTTTCTGGTTTCCTCTGCAAGGGGGTAAGTCGCCCCAGGCTCCTGCCTAGGTGGGCTCTCCACCTGGCTCACTCCTTCCCCTCCTTTAAGTCTTCCCTCAGATGTCCGCTTCGCTTCTTGGGTGAGCTTCCCCAACTGCCTTATCTAAGAGGAATGCATTCCAACTGCCCGATGTCCTCTTCACTCTAGTTCACTTCCCCCAGGTAGCATGCCCTTAAGTTCTGAAGCATCACGTGCTGCTCAGGTCTTCCCAACCCCCACTCCCAGCCCAACTCCACAAGGGCAAAGATTTGTGCCTTTTCTGCCCTGAGATAGCCCAAGCACTTTAAATAGTGACTGGCACGTAGTAGGTACTCAAATATCTATAAACTGAAATGAATAAACAAGTGAATAGGTTGTAAAGAAGAATCTTAGATGGTAGAACTGGGAGAGTCCAGAATGATGGATTGCTCTTCTGTGTCGTTCCTGACACAGGACCTAAGATACAGAGAACATGGAGGAATTCTTTTTCTTTTTCTTTTTTTAAGATTTTATTTATTTATTTGAGAGAGAAAGAGAGCACTTGAATGGGGGTGAAGGGGCAGAGGGAGAGGGAGAAGAAGGTTCCCCAAGGAGCAGGGAGCCCAACGTGGGGCTCAATCCCAAGACCTGAGATCATGACCCGAACCGAAGGCAGATGCTTAACTGACTGAGACACCCAGGTGCTCCCAAAAAGGAATTCTTCAGATGACTTCTAGAGTGTGCCAGGCCTGGTGCCAGAAGCAGAGAGGCAGTGGGGAATAGAGCTGGGTGCAGAGCTGGGCAGGCAGTGTCCGTCCTTGCACAATTCCAGTGGGTGCCATTTTCATAGAACACAAAGCAAGTGGTGCCCCTTGAACAACTGTTCAAGGCAGCTGCCTAGGGGTGAGGTAGGTGGGGAGAGATTGTGCATGGACCAGGGTATGGAGCTGAAAGAGAGAGTGGATGCAACCCTGCAGGGTCTGTCAGTTCGGAGGGAGGGCCCAACCCAAGAAAGAGCATCAGGAGCCGAAGGTTGGGGGGAGTGCAGGTCTAGGATGGCCTCTGTGGTGTTGTCTATGCCCAACACAACACCTAGCCTGGGCTAGCACCCAGTAGGTCTTTAAAGACGGTGAGTGAGCAGCAATGCCCATACTCTAGTCATGGGAGCGGAGTTCAGGCTTGCTGTCGTGCCCATCTCTCTAACCCAGTGAGGCTCACTCCCCTGGTACTATTCTTCTAGCTGGTGGCTCTTCATCCTGGCTGCATGGTAGGATCTGGGGAATTAATAAAACAAGGCAAAACAGGATGCCAGGCATCTGAACCCCAAAGTTTATAGCAGCAATGTCCACAATAGTCAAACTATGGAAGGAGCCCAAATGTCCATCGACACATGAATGGATAAAGATGTGGGAGATATATATGTTTATATATGTATATATATATATATATATATATATATATATATATATATATATATATATAGACTACTACTCAACCACCAATAAGAATGACATCTTGCCATTTGCAGCAACAGGGATGGAACTAGAGGGTTTTATGCTAAGTGAAATAAATCAATCAGGGAAAGACAATTATATGATTTCACTCATATGTGGGATTTAGGAAACAAAACAGAGAATCATAGGGGAAGGGAGGGAAAAATAAAACAAGATGATATCAGAGAGCAGGAGAGAGACAAACCTTAAGAGACTCTTAATCCTAGGAAACAAGATGAGGTGTGCTGAAGTGGAGGGGGGTGGGGACAATCCCTGCAGGTAAGGGATAACTGGGTGATGGGCATTAAGGAGGGCACATGATGGAATGAGCACAGGGTGTTCTATGCCACTGATGAATCATTGAACTCTCCTTCTGAAACTAATAATATACTATGTGTTAATTAATTGAATTTCAATAAAATAAAATTAAAACAAAACAAAAACAGCATTCCAGGGCCCCAACCTCAGGGATTGCATTCTATTTTTTTTTTTAAGATTTTATTTATTTATTCATGAGAGACACAGAGAGAGAGGCAGAGACACAGGAAGAGGGAGAAGAAGCAGGCTCCTCACAGGGAACCCAATGCAGAACCCGATCCTGGGACTCTGGGATCACAACCAGAGCCAAAGGCAGATGCTCAACACTGAGCAACCCTGGGTGTCCCTGAGATTGCATTCTAGGTGGTCAGGCGTGGTCTGGGCTTCCAGCTCACCAGCTGTTCTACTATGCAGCCAGATTTGAGAACTGCTGCAAGGGGCTGAGAACCAGTGCTGTGGAAGGATCTGGACTGAGGATACTTAATCCTGAAGATACAAGATTAAATCTAAAGGAGTATGTAAATTTGGCCTGGGAATAAATTACACCTTAATTTCCACCAACCACTAACTGAAATTGAGCATTTTCTTCCGTTATTGATGTGGGTGTCAAACCACATTAATGTGAACAGTGACTCTGTATCCATAGAAATCACAGGCATGTTCATATTACTTTATGGTTGTTGTGTGTATCTTGAAATATCATTTAAGTTCACCCCCCCATCAAAATTAAGGGAAGTATTAGACTTGTTCTCACCTTTCCCCACCCCCTGCTCATGCTCTCTCTTGCTATCTCTCTCAAATACATAAATAAAATCTTTAAAAAAAAAAAGCATGAGTCACAATATCACAAATAGATATTTTGATTACTGGTATTCAATATGAGTGTTTTAATTGAAATTCTATGTATCTTTTATGTGTTTTTAAAAAGATTTTATTTACTTATTTGAGAGAGAGAGCATGAACAAGTTGGGGGTAGAGGGAGAGGGAGAAGCAGGCTCCCCGCTGAGCAGGAAGCCAGATGCAGGGCTCATCCTAGGACCCTGGGATCATGACCTGAGCTGAAGGCAGCCACTTAACCAACTAAGCCACCCAGGTGCCTCTCTTTCATGTATTTTAAAACACGATTCTGAGGAGGGCTCCTTGGACAGCCCTAGATGGCCAAAATGCTCCCCAACCCAGGTGAAGATGTATTTTAAGAGGAGGGTCCCTGCTGACCCCAAGAGAAGACAAATGGCATCTAGTAGAAATAGTAACTCCCTCTCTCACCTGTCTGGTCTGCAGACAAAGGTCACACGGTTTTTGGTTAGAGTTGTCTGGCCTCTGTTTGTGTTGAGAGCCTCCCGTGGCAGCCTGGGGGGCCCTTCTGTGTCTCTGGGACCGGGGGAGAGGACGGTGGGCTGGCACCTGCTAGCCACTGGCTCCTCGCTGCCTTCTGGCCCTTCTGTCCTGTCAGAGAAAGACACAGGAGCCCCGTGGATTTTTGTCGGTGCTCCCTTCTTCAATTAATCAGGCTCGCGGCACCCAAGCCTGACCCAGACACGCCCCAGCCCTGGCGGGGAAGCAGAGCTAGGACCTCCGAGGAAGAAGAGAATAACACCTTGGGAAGCTTTGGGGTTGGAGCTGGTATAGGTGCATAGAGCAAATCAGAAACAATTGGGTTCGTTTTAAATGAAGTTTCCACCACCTTCTCCCACCGGCTCGGCTTGTGGGCTTGTGGAGAGTGGGCTCTCCATAGGTTGCTCTGTGGGCTGAGTCTGGAGGATGCAGGGAAGGGGTGGGGAGCGGAGTCTGGGCCCACTTCCTGCACCGCTCAGCTCTCTCAGCTTTTGCCGGGAAGACGCCACTTCCAGGCAGCCTGGATGCAAAAGCCTTTGGCCTACATTCCTTTCAGATTTCAGCAAGGGTGAACACTCTGTGAGTCTCTGTGGTTTGGTTCTTGTTAAAATCCTGAATCTTCTCTCTGCTCCAAGAGGAAGGTCTTGGGTGGAGCAATGGCTGGGGTGTTAGCTGCCCAGCCCCTAACAGTGTCCTTGGGGTGCACGCCCCCAACCCCCCACCCGCAGATGTGCCCGCTGTGGAAGGCACATATTCTGGTGACCAGCTGGTGAGAGGTGACAGTGTCAGCCTGCAGAACTTGACCTCCTGGCTCAGCAGCCATGAACAAGACTTGTTAAGCAAAGGAATAGTAGTTGTGGGTGGCAGGAGACCCCGAGTGGGTTCTGGGCAGATGTCTGAGTGGGAAGTCACTGAGGTAAGAGCCTGCATAAATCTCTGACAAATGAAAAAAAAAAAAAAAACCTCTGAAAAATGGCAAACCCAGGAAATGGCCCCCATGGTGCCCAGAGCCAGAGAACAGTGTCCTCAGACATGAGGGTCAGGGAACGCTTTCAGACACTGGGGAAAGCCACAGACTCTTCTCTTCAGGAGAATGCATGTGTATCATTCAAATTCTGCGTGCCATTTCAGAGGTTCTCACCCCCGGGGTGGAAGCCCCGTGTTTAGGGGAGAAAAAAATCAAGCTAGAAATGTGCAGTGAATCCCCCAAGGCCCATCGCATGGCAGGTGGCAGAGCCAGGACCCCAGGTCCCTGCTGGCTTAGTCTGATGCCCTCTCCCCTCTGTGTCAGCATCAACCTTGGAGAGAAGGAAGTGGGATGGAGGGCAGGCCTTCTGGTTCCACATCTAACCAGGAGACCAAGTGGTAGAAATAAACACAGGATATCAATAGGCACCCAAGGTGAAGGCAGTGGAGGCCTTGAATCCTTCCCAGTTCTCATCCTCCCTCCCAATTCTTTTTTTTTTTTTTAAGATTTTATGTATTTATTCTTGAGAGATGCAGAGAGAGGCAAAGACATGGCAGAGGGAGAAGCAGTCTCTTTGAGGGGAGCCCAATTTGGGACTTAATCCCAGGACCTCAGGATCACGACCAAGCCCAAGGGAGCCACCCAGGTGTCCCCTCCCTCCTAACTCTTGATTGACTGTGAAAGAACAGGTTTTCTCCCTGAGACATAACCTAGGGAAGTCCCAGGATTTTTTTAGCCTCTTCTTTATCCAAGACCTTCCTCCTCAATCAGAGAAAAGGTTCAGGATTTTAACAAGAACCAAACTGCAGAGACGCACAGAGTGTTCACCCTTGCTGAAATCGAAAGGAAAGTAGGCCAAAGGCTTTTGCATCCAGGCTGCCTGGAAGTGGAGTCTTCCGGTCATGAGCTGAGCAGCCCCAGAAGTGGGCCTAGACTCCCCTCCCCAAATACCTCTTGGCAGTGGTGGAGAGCCTGCTGCTGGTGACCAAAGGAACCTACTGGAAATAAGTAGAGGATGACCTACAATCTCTCAACTGCCTCCACCTACAAACAGGGCGGAAATGTGGGGGGAATGTGCCTCTCATAAATCCCTCTGAGAGTCAGGGCAAACTCAAATCCCCAAAGAGATCAAGAGTGATTCAAGATGCAGGCATCTGAGGTTGGGGTTTGAGAGAGCTATGCCCACAGGCCCTGAGTCATCTGAGTCAGGGTGCATTTCAGATATGCTATTTCTCCTCAGTTATTGATTCAGAAAGTCTGGGGGCAAAGCCTTGGGGTGTTGGTATGGGTAGGGCTTAGCGGTGCATGGATTCCAGAGTCCTCTCTTCAGGTTTCCTTTAATATCAGTTCAGTCTGGACCAGAGTATTCCTCTTCTCTGTTTTCTCTTTTCCTTCTCTTCTTTTTTATTGCCCAGCTCAAGGCACCACCAAAGGGAAGCCAATTCTCTTGTCCTGCCTCCAACCAATTTTTTATTTCATAGTCAAATTAGAGCAGGGGCACCAGGGTGACTCAGTGGTTGAGCGTCTGCCTTTGGCTCAAGTCATGATCCTGGGGTCCTGGAATCAAGTCCTGCATCTGGCTCCAGGGAGTCTGCTTCTCCCTCTGCCTATGTCTCCACCTCTCTCTGTGTGTCTCTCATGAATAAATAAAATCTTGAAAAAAAATTGATCAATTTGGGGCAAAATACAGATTAGTGAAGAGTCTGAGTGTATATTTGAAGAAGGGAATCTAGATAAGAATGGTTTATAATTAGCATGTGCCTTGACCAAACTGGGGTCTTAGAAGAGTTTGTTCTCTTAAGTTTTCTTAAATCTTTAAAGACCTCTCTACCACCCACTCCTGCCATCGCCCTCCCAGCACACACACTTGACCTCGTCTGCACAATTCATTCACTCTACCTCAGGGGTTTGCTAAGTAAACGTGAGTTTCAGGTACACCCCTACCAAAAAGAGAGTTCTCTGAGTCCAGAATTATATTTAGGAGTTCCTCCTGTGCAGAATTCTCTTGGTTTATAAGTGCTTCTGAATATAAAATGGACATGAAGCCGGGGCCACTGGGGCCTCTTTTGGATACCTGAAGAAGCTCAGGTACCACAATGAGACTTGCAGGGGCAATGACCCTCCCCACATGAGTGCTGCCTCTTGGAATGGCCATGGGAAAAAATGGGAAGCCACTTATAAAATAATATATATAAAGGGACACCTGAGTGGCTCTATCAGTTGAACATCTGATTCTTGGTTTCTGCTTGAGTGGTGATCTTGGGGTCGTGGGATCTGCCTGAGTCGGGCTCCATACTCATTGAGGAGTCTGCCTGGGATTCTCTCTCTCTCTCTCTCTCTCTCTCTGCCCCTCCTCTACTATCTCTCTTTCTCAAAATAAATGAATAAATAAAATCTTTTGAAAAATAATATATATATATATGCATTTTAAATGTGCATACACACACACATATATATATACACGCAAAACTTATATTTCTGGATCCTTGCTTATTGCAATAGACAAATTCTGTGACTGCTTTAGATTCAAATAAACAGCTCATCCTTAATGAAGCCCACTTGAAGAAAAGACATGCTTCAAAGGCAACATGTTATTATTCCTCACAAATTTCTGAAGATTAAATATGTGACAGGCACTGCTGATGTGTGGTCCACCTTTGTAGGACACCACGGAGTGGGAGGAATTTATTTATTTATTTTTTTTTAAATTTTTTTGTTTGTTTTATTTATTTATGATAGGCACACAGTGAGAGAGAGAGAGGCAGAGACACAGGCAGAGGGAGAAGCAGGCTCCATGCACCGGGAGCCCGATGTGGGATTCGATCCCGGGTCTCCAGGATCGCGCCCTGGGCCAAAGGCAGGCGCCAAACCGCTGCGCCACCCAGGGATCCCGAGGAATTTATTTTTATTTGTATTTTTTAGTTGGAGGAATTTTTAACTATGCTCTGTCATAACTCTTGTATAATGTATTAAAGCCAACCCAGGACACTTGTTAGGAAGAGTGTAGCTCAGGAGTTAAGAGTATTTCTCCAGCTGGTGGGCTGATGAGGAGGCCTGGCAGTTTGGGGATTACATAATCCCTGCTCTTGTGCATTTCTTAATAATTTCCCGGGTAGGTTTACATCAATACTTTCTGGTACCATTTTTACTTAATAAAAATAGCAAAAGAAGCATCTATGAGGTAAGGAGAGGAGAGAAAAAAAGAAGCCCAAACAGCAAATTCTGTTCCATTCTACCCAGTATACATGATAGTGATCAGAAGACATCTCTGAGAGCTCATTTTCCTTTTGACCTTGTGTACTTCCTGTACTTAGCTGCCTCTGCAGGGTGTGCTGCCCTGGCAGGGCTCTGGCTCCTGTGCAGCTCTGCCATGATGTGACTAGTGGCAACCACTCACTATGGGTTATCAACTGAGCCCCAACAAGGCACTTCTACAGCCCACTGCTGATCCCCCCACATGGCTCTGAGAAGCAGCTGCCCCTGGCTGCATTTCACAGATGAGGAAAGGGGGCCCAGAGGCTCTCAGCAAACTGCCCTAGGTCAGGTGGCTCAAGGGGGCAGAGCAGGGCTCATCACCAGGTCTGTGTGGCTTCAGAGCCTGTGCTCTGAAGCCCCTACCACCCACTCTGAGACTTTGCCTCCATTTGTTTTCTTGCCAGCATGTTTTAGCATTGCAGGAGTGAGACAGATTGGCTTCAAGGAGCTTATAATCTAGGTAGGGAGAAAAGAACAGAAAAAAAGCATTTCTTTCCTGTACAACAAGGAACCTGGTAGTCAAATGTTCTAACTGGAGCATCAAACCAGATGAGCCACACTGCAGGACGCTGGAACAGAGCATTGTGGGAATTCTGTTTGATTGCAGCCAGGACCATGTGGGGTGGGGGGTGGTGGTGCTGCAAATAGGAACAGTTGAAACAGCGCCAGTTTGAGGGACCAGGATTCATGTTCCCAAGTGATGGGTAAGGTGTAGAGAGTCTAACAGCAATGTCAACAGCTGGTACTTTTTTGGGGTTTACCAGCACCAGGTTTGAAGTGTTTTATAAGCTTTGATGTGCTGAATCCACCTGATACCCTCAGAGTAGATACTATTACTCTGTTTCCCACATGAGAAATGGAAGCATGGGGGCTTGGGATTTTGCCCAGTCTTCCAGCTGGCATGTGGGGTGCGGGGATTTAAGCCTGGGCTGGCTGGCTCCGAGCCCAGGCTCTTACTGCACAAAGGACTGGTTAAGTTGAGGTACATCCTCTCCCGGACTTCCCCATTGCACTGTCAAAACTGTAATTATCTGGTCACTGTGTTTTCCCCACTGGACTGTGTCTCCAAGAAGGCAGGGGTCATGTCTCTCTTGTTCTCAAATACCTCTAGTATCTCCAGCACCTAGACTAGTGACTGGCATCCAGAAAGCACCCAAAAGTTTTGAAGCATGGGTGAAATGCACCACAAGGAAGCAGAGGATTCCTTTGTAAGAGCAGCAACCCCACCCCGGTGCACCATTCATACCTGGTGATCATGAGTGAGTCATCTCACTTCCTCCCCACCTCAGCAACACAGAGGATGATAACAGAGGTGAAGCTTTACAAAACAGTCTGGTAGTTCCTCAAAATGTTCCACAACAGAGGTACTGTCTGACTCAGCAGTTCCACTCCTGGGTATATGCTGAAAAACAGAAATACAGTTGATGTCCACACAAACATTTGTACAGAATGCTCATAGCAGCACAACCGTAATAGCCAAAAAGTCGAAATGACTCAAATGTCCATCCTCGGATGGATGGATCAACAAAATGAGGTGCATCTATACAGGTGAATGTTATTCAGCCACAAGTACATGCTACACCACGGGCAAACTTCAAAGACATTATATTAGGTAAAGAAGCCAGCCACAAGAGGCTCCTTATTGTATGTTTTTATTTATATGACATGTTCAGAATAGACACATCCATAGAGGCAGAAAGCAGATTTAGTGCTTGCTGGGGCCTGAGGTAGTGTGAGTGTGGATGGGGAGCACCTGCTAATGGGTTTAAGGCTCCTTTTTGGAGTGATGCAAATGTTCTGGAATTAGATAGTAGTGAATATGCTAAAAAAAAAAAAAAAAACAACTACTGAATTTAAAAGGGTGCATATCGTGGTATGGGCATTATATCTCAAAAGAAAAAGAAAACAATATACTAAGTTCTATTGTAAATTTAGGTTAGCTACGTATTTACATTTTTTAAGAAGATTTATTTATTTTAGAGAGAGGGAGACAATCTCAAGGAGACTCCCCACTCACTGAGCCTGGAGCCTGACCTTGGGTTCCATCCCCTGACCCTGAGATGGTGACCTGAGCTGAAACCAAGAGTTTGATGCCCAACCGACTGAGCCACCTAGGTCCCCCTTATTGACATTTTGTAGGAATTTAGGGGTCTGGGCATAGTCTTAAAAATTAGTTTGTTGGTTTTTTGTCTCTGATCTAGTTCAGGTGTCTATGCTAATAATGGGGGGTCTGGCATTTTCAGCTTTGCAGGCCTACTATGTGGGCACAGCAAAAGAGCTTGGACCTTGGACCAGCCAGCTCTGGACTTGCTCAGCCTCACTTTCCTGCCCTTTGCCTCCATCTCATCTGTTACCGTCCTTTTCCAAGCCCACTGTCATCCTACTGTCAGCCACTACTGCAACTGCCTCCTAAGTGCTTCATTCATCCTAGAAATAGTTCCAGAGCACCTGCTAGTGTCAGGTACTGTTCAGGTGCTGGGGAGTAGGAGGGAGCAGCACAGAACCCCTGCCCCCAGGAGCTGACATCTCGGCCGAGAGACAGCAATAAACCCATGAATACGCAGATGATTTCACGTGTGAGAAAATGATTATGTTGAAGACAACAGAGGAAAGTGGAGAGTGGTAGGTGGAGGAAGTACAATTTGCAGTTTGGAGGTGAGAGGATATTGCCTTCATCTGTGCAAAGATTGGCACAGGTGAGGGAGCGCACCCGTGGATATCTGGGGGCGAGGTGATCGGGAACAGGGAACAGCCACTGAGTGGCCTGGAATGGTCCTATTTGTAGAAAAGCAAGGAGGCCAGTGTGGCTGGGGGAGGAGGGGGAGGGAGGGAAGCGATGAGGTCAGAGGGAGAAGGGGAGGAGGACCCACTTAAAGGCCTCCGTTCTTGCCTCTCTGTGAAAACTTCCAGTGGCTTCCAGCTCCTGGCTATTAAGGCCGCCCTGCCTCTCAGACACCACTGCCTCCCACTCTCCCTGTTGCTGCTTTGCCAAACTCCTTCCTACCACAGGAGCTTTCCCATTGCTGCTCTCTCTGCCGGGAAAGCCCCTCCCCCTTCTTCTCCTGGCTAGCTTGTTCTTATCATTCTGGCCTAATCTCAAACATCACTTTTTGAGTGGTGTGAAGTAGCCTCCACTCCTTGATTATCCCATTACTCTCTATTCTCTCCTCATTTATGACTACTTAAAATGATCTTGCTTGTTTTACATACAAGTGGTCTGTCTCTACTCCTCCCAAAAGGAAACCCCTCCAGGTCAGGGGTCTCCTCTAGCCTGTTCACCCGGGTCTCCCTTGGACCATTCCTCAATAATTGTTAAATGAATGAGGGATTTGGTGACCTCATCTTCCTGGGAATTCCTCTGATTAAAGGGGTGGCTTCTGGGTGTCATCTTAGCACCCAAGCTTAGCACCTAAGAGGGATTTAACTCTTACTCCATCCAGACAACCTTTGTCCTGGGGGAAGATTAATTATACGGTGGGCTGGGGTGGGAGTATTCTTTCCTTCTATCTCTCTTTAAGGACAATGCTTTCTGTCTTCTACCTTCTATTCACTCTCAGGTACTTCCAAGATCATACATACTTTCCTCATCCTGTTCCCATTTCACCCGGCCCTGCTAAGAATTGGAGGGTTAGATGGACACTTCTAAAATCTGTGATTTCTGAGATTTGACCAGGTCAGGAATCATTTAGCCAAGGGAGTCCAGAGAATTCATGTTACAAATGGGGAAACTTAGGCCTACAGTAGGGAATGAATGAGAATTGGTGGCAGATCCCAGGGAGAAGTCATCAGACAGGGAGATGTAACCTGAGGGAGGGAGTTTCATTGAGATCCCTAAAATTACACAAATAATTTTATGGTCAGTCATTTTTCTCAGAAGAAAGTTCATCATTGTCTTAAGGGGTTTCTTTAATGGTCTTAGAAGTTAAGCACCCTTTAAGGGTCATGGACTCCTTTGAGAAAACCATAACTAAGCTCCTTGGGGTGTCTTGTTACTGTTCTAGTACATAGCAGTGCCAGACTCATAGCAGATGCCCCCAAACTATTGAATGAGCAAATGAATGAATGGATGAGGAGTGAATAGATTAATGGAGTGACAAATGAACCCATCTCCTCCATTTAATTTCAGTGCTCTTTTGACCAAGTCACAAATGGCAAGGAGTCAACCAACAAGGACCAAGGACCTTGGATGCCTAGCCTGACTGCCCCACCCCTCCAAGCTATCTCCCAGGCTGGCTGCGTGTTAGTGCTCTCCAGGTTGAGCAGACCTTGGGAAGCAATCTCTGAGTCCTCTGTTGGACCAGATTGTCAGCTGACCTGAAGATAGTCTTATTATATGTAAAACACTCAAGATTTCCCTGTCCTTGGAGATGCAGCTCAGGGCCGGGACACAGCCTGGGACAGGAGCCAGAGAGAGAGACAGAGAGAGAGAGCGAGAGAGAGAAAGAAAGAGAAAGAGAGATAGAGATGAGTTGCTGCTACAAGTCCAAACTTTTCCGCCTTTTCTGGGCATGGACTAGTGATTCTCCTTGGGTGGGGGTGGGGGTGGGGTTGGGGGTTTGGTTTGGGACACAGTAGGGTCTATTTCTTAAAAAATTCAAGCATGTTTTGTTTTAGACCTCAGTCACATTGGCCCAGAAATACCGAGACCAAGGATCTGGAATAACGAAGAAAGGAAAAGTTAGACCCAGAGCTGGGGAGACAGAGAGGAAGAGAGTGCACGGGGGCCTGGGGGCTGCCGACTTGGAGGTGTCACTGTCAGCACCCCTCTTCTGAGGAGAGCTTGGCGATGACTTTCATGGGGAGCTCTGAGATCTTCATGCGATTATTCAACAGCAACTAATGGGGAAGAGCACCAGATGTGGAATCTGGAAGCTTGGATCTGAGTCCTAGCTTGGCTACTTTAGAAGCTGAAAGGGCCCGATCTTGGCAGACAGAGCAGGGTTCAGACACTAGCTCTCTCTGCCTGCTGTAGCTCCTACCACCCTGTTAGCTCCTTCCCCTGGTATTTGGCAACATGTTCAGGGGGCGGGAAGGTCCCATTTTCCACTGGGTGGCCCGAGGGCAGTGCATGACTCGATTGCTTCTGGAGCGGATAGCTGTGTTTGTCTAACCTTAAGGCCTCCTGCCCGAGCTGGGGGCCTAGGAGAGTGAAGTGCTATCTCCCTTCCCCTGAAGTCTTCGGTCCTTCTCAAGCTTAGATCCCACTGATGCAGCTGGTTCATAAAGTGGACGGAGCAAAATGAGCATTCAATCTCAGACAGTCACAGAAATCCCTTCTAGCCTATTGCCAGAGGCTGGGGGTAGCCCTGGGGGAAGGGGGTTATGGTGGAGATGGAATATTGATGAGGGAGCAGGGCTGGCTGAGGACAAAGCACAGCTGATATCCCACAAACAATCCCATACCTCAGAGTGGGATATATGTGTCTTCGGGAAGTTTCCAATTGTCTTAATGCCTTGCCAGAGGGAAAAGCCATCTTTAATTTGACAATGGCAAGGCCTCCAGGATTTTGTAGGTCCTCCTTAGCATTTGAAAATCCTTTTGGGGGATGCCTGGGTGGCTCAGCAGTTGAACATCTGCCTTCAGCCCAGGGAATGATCCTGGAGTCCCAGGATCGAGTCTCACATCAGGTGCCCTGCATGAAGCCTGCGTCTCTCTCTGCCTATGTCCCTGCCTCTCTCTGTGTGTGTTTCTCATGAATAAATAAATAAAATCTTAAAAAAAATCCTTCTGGAATCTCCTTTTTGCTTACTTCCCCCAACTCCTGGGTATATAATCAGCCACTCCTCACAGGCCCAGGGCAGCAGCTCCTTCTGCCCACAGGTCCTGTCCCCGTGCTTTAATAAAACTACCATTTTGCACCAGACGTCTCGAGAATTCTTTCCTGGTTGTCGGCTCCAGACCCCACCTATATTCCAAAATTTCATCAATACCAGAGGATGATTCTTGTACTCCACTGAAGGCTTTCTGGAGTTTTTAACGCTCCCAGGTGATTACAATATGCAGCCAAGCTTGAAAACTAGGAGGCTGCAGTAAGGGAGATGGGGAGCCTGGGGTCCCGCAAGGACAGCTGTTTGACATAAATAACGGGGACTATACAGGATAAATAATGGGTACTATACTATACAGGAGGTGGTACGCCAAGGAGTAGCTGTGGAGCATGGAGCCGAGAACTCCTCCTCCCCCTCCCCCCCTCCCCCTCCTCCCCCTCCCCCTCCTCCCCCCCCCCTCCCCTCCGGGACGCTGTGCTGCTGTGGCCAAGGCACAGCCCTCCCAGAGGCTTAGCTCCTGGCTGGCATGAGGAGGGGCTTGGGCCCAAGCCTTGGTTAACATTAGAATCACTGGGGTGCTTATAAAAAAGACTCCAGAGGTGCCTAAATGGCTCAGTCAGTTAGCATCGGACT